TGTAACATGTACCGCTATAACATTCGCTGTATTACTGTGTGTATATTATTGTGTAGGTTGGTTTTTGTCTTAAAAAGGAGAGAAGATACATAGAAGCCGTTACACGAGTATTAATTTGTGAGTATGTACATACATGTAGAATCGATTACATGGGATAAAATCCCATTTCATGTCAATCATACTGATTATGATTATCGTTTGACATGCACGCAGACCATCCACGAATTTCAGAGAAGATTATAAAATATGTTTAAATGTATCATGACTACGTTTACAGAGGAAGTTACTTGAAAGTAAAATGATCTATCATTTTGAGACGATAAATAATTCTTTTTTTAACGAGCAGAATTTGGACTACTATAAATTATTGTTCCGCGCGTATTATAAATTCGGTCATTCATTTTCAATAGTTCGTATAATATAATTCACAATTCGTTAAATTCATTGCAAGTCTCTGAAATATCTCGTTTACAAACTTTATAACAAGTGAAATTTGTACACAAGAGTTTCAATATGGCTCCTGCAAATGCATGCGGAAAATAAATTTGTGAGAAATTACGGTGAATCTTTCAACAAGCCAAAATAATATATTTGCGTGCGACATTCACATTTTGGATATCCACGATGTACGACGTTTGAATTTGACAATGTATGTATATTATCGTACTTTTCTAAGAAAAAATATTGTGTTTCATTACATATATATTTTTATTAAACATTTGGTATTACTTACGGAAAGAATTACATTTTTTTATATGGATACGGTAGATGTACATGGACGATAGGTATCAGAATCGGAACTCCGCGAAAGAAAAGCTAATAATAAATAAATGATAAATTAGTACATGTTGTAAATGTGTGGTATACGTTTCATTGGCGATGCTTCGATCGTTCAGTAATTGATTAAATATATAACGATATAGGTGATAATGATTTATGCTACTGTATCATGTTATTACTGGCTATTTGCAGTTGAATGATAAAATAGCTGAATACACGTAATCAATAATGGAAAAGATACTTTGTTACGTATACGTCATGCCGTTTAAATGTGTCGAATGTCAGTAATGTATCAATATTTACTTACATGGACATGGGTTATTTGCTAAAAAATCACAGATAAAAAGATTAATATTTAAAAGTCTTCTATAAATTATTATTAGATCATAATTAACTTTGTAATATAATTACAATCGCATTTAAAAAAATATATTAAAACATAGCCAATGACATAGTCACAGTTTCTCTCATATTTATATAAATTAACAAATTCTTATTTCAAATTAGCAGCAAAATTGCAAATAAAATAAGAATTACTTTTTGGAAATTTTCGCAAATTTGAAATTGCGTTTAACGCCATCATTCCTCCAAATATCTTTCTTTTCACAAAAATGAATAATGTAATTTGTAATCAAATTAATAGAAGCGATGTAGAATATAAACAATTTTTATAAAAATTGCAATAAATATTATAACATTTAAAACAAATATAATAAATGTTGTAATATTTATTATTTATAATTTAATTAATATTACAATTTTGTATAATTATTAATATTTACAACGACAACGCAAACATCGCCGATGATGTATGGAGGATGGATTTAGTTACTAATAGTATTAAGTGTTAATTTTTTAATTATTCATTGTCATTTCGAGGCATTCGCAGACACTCGCAATATATCGCATGCTGTATGCATGCT